CAGCGTACCAAAGGTTAGTCAATGGATTCCACAAGCAGGCCTAGTCGTCCGAAAGCAAGAATGATATCAGTACCAATCCTACAATATTTGTGGGACATTATAAAATCGCTGTTTCCGCCATGAAAAGTTTTCTATCATTCAGGAAATTAATAATTTTGTCTGCGACAAGACAAAAACTCAATTAAGGATCCATTGGGCAGTAGTTACCTCCATGAAATGTGTCATGGAGGTTATATTTTCAGTTGCGTTTATCTGTCCGTCCGTCCGTCCGTCTGTCTGTTGGTCAACAAGATAACTCAAGAACGCCTGGATGGATGGGTTTCATACTTGGTGTGTTGGTAGGGTGTGACGAAAACTGGAAATGATGAGATTTTGGTCCCCCTAGTGGCTTCCCTTGGTACTGCAGCGCAACTTCCGGTTTTGATATCTCGCGATCTGGACATGCTAGGGTCATGAAATTTTGATGGAAGGTAGCTCTCGTGCTTGGGAAGAAGTCATATGAGTTTGGGCTTGTTCTGGAACTGCAGGGCACTTTCTGGTGAAATGTTTAAAAGCCAATAAGTCCAGACAGGAACAACATATTTTCATTATTTTTGGTGTGTAGGTAGCTGAGAGAGAGATGTACATAATTAAATGCAAATTATGCAAATGAGGACTTTATTTGCATAATTAATGAGGAAATTCTATAATTACAGTGTTTTACATTATACTATGTAACCTATGGCAGGCAGAACTTCAACAGATACTAATTATGCAAATGATGACCTAATTTGCATAATTAATGTGAAAATTCTATGATTTCGTAATGGTGAATGATGAGAATGTCATACTTGGGACATCTGTAAGTTATTCAAAAGTTAACATACATCACGATGCATATATCATGTTAATGCAGAGGTCATTTGAACAATTCAAGAAGAAATTTACATTTACATATCAAGATCATATTTCATGGAGGTATGAAATCTCGGAATTCTAGTTATGCTTGTTTCTTTCGCCCATTCACTAAATATCCATTCACTAAAGAAAGCTCTGCTTCACTATAACAAATATCTAGAATGGAATGATACGCTGCGGCATAGCTGACCACTTGCCATCAGACAACGGTAATGCAGACCAATCTGGCAATATAAAGCCAACATATTGTTATGTTGAAACGGACACAGGTGGCTGGAGCTACTCGTTATCAGAATTCAAATATTTCGATACACAGGGATAATTCCCGACTACAACCGTTCGGATCCAGGAGGATTAAGGATTCTGCTACAAGGATGGATGTTTCGATATCCTGTGGCTGTGCTTACATAGACTCTTGGCCCGGGGTTAATGACCCCCCCCCTCCAACATTTAGTGTGTGCGCCGCGATTTAGTCAAGCTAGACGTTTAGAGACCGAAAAATTGGATTTATCTTGGGATGTCACTCTTTCAAGATGTAAGTATTAGAATACAAGTGGGAAGGGAATCATGTACTTCTGTACAGCCACAATTGAAGGGAACTCTTTGAAGAATCCACTCTATTTCCATTCTAATTTTTTCACATGATATCCACTTTTAAAGGGTGTCAGCATTATTATAGTGTTTGTGTCTTTTACGATCACAACAGGAGGCTTAGAGGTTTTCCTACCAGGATGTTCTCCTACCAGAGACTTGAAAACAGGGATTTCCTGGGATATCAATTTCCTACGATCAAAGGAGAACGGGGCTATCGTGGAATATCATGGGGTATCATGGGATATCAAGCTTTAAAGGGTGTCAGCATTAGCATACAGTGATTTGTGTATCTTTTTGAAGATCACAACAGAAGACTAAAAGGTTTTCCTACAAGGATGAACGCATTAAGAGACTTGGAAAGAGGGTTTATGTGGGATATTAAGATCAAAAGAGAACGGAACTCTTAAAAACTGCAGCAATGCTATCCAACTATCTAAATTTTCCAGTTTGACAGGCACACTTCTATCTCTAACATCAGATTGGCAAATTACAGAAAAAGGGGACTAAGTCACCCTAACAAGTTGGCCCCGGCATTTATACTGGTCATGTTATAAATTTACCTTCGACAAGAGGTAAATATAACGTGAGGCGGTGGTCTAGGTCTGTATGTATGTCAACAGCATAACTCGAGAAATTGTGGGTAGATATTAGATTGAAGGGTTATATCAACAATATAATGAAAAAGAGAAATTGTGTGTGGTCACACAGTGGTGTCGTTCATCTGCTATCAATCATCATTTGCTAGTTGCTTATTTAGTACACAGAATTTAAGTTGTAATGGGCATGCTTTGAATAAAAATAATATTTCCAAAGCTCCATCTTGTTTCCTAAAATCATGATACAAAGACTGTTAGTAGGCCAAATGGACCATGCTTTGGTTCTAGCGCTATAGCAACGGTCTAAAAACTCCTCCTAGCGGAAGGAAGTTAAAATGTAGTTTAGCACTCCTTCGGCCACGGTGTTGACAAAGTGCCTACTAGTGAGTCTAGTGGTGCATACCTAAACCCAATTTTAGGTTCAGGTCCGGATTCAAGTCCAGAGGTTTAGGTTCAGTTCCGGACTTGTAAGTCCGGACCTAAACCCATGGCATATACAAAATTGCATGTTGGCAACCTTGCTGGGTTGTCTGGGTTAAAATTTGGCCACATAACATGGAAGCCGGTACTTGACAATGCCCGATGGCAATGTTTTCTTCATTTTGCAGCAAAGATTTTGCAATCTACGGAAGGTTTTAGGTGGTTTGGAAAGAAAGGGGTTGCGTGAAATGGTCTTTTATGGTAATAAGTCCGGACTCGGTTCTTGACTTTTAGGTTTTTTTGGACTTGAACCTAAACATTCTTACAAGTCCGGATCCAAGTCCAGTGAACCGGTATGCACCCCCACTAGTGACGGTCTGTGGTACCGCAGTCACTGGCCTCCGTCTCCCCCGTTACAATCGGATTGCATCTGTGGCATAATTGGTCTTAATCTACCGACGCCGAGCGATGGGTGAAGATACTTCCACTCAGATTAGGCTTCTTTCGTGTAACTAGTAGGCAAATTATGAAACACACGACAATATACTACAGACAACGCCAGATATATACTCATATAATTATAAATAATTATAATTTTCGTCGTAAGCATAAATGTTAATATTATTTAAATAGCCAGCTTCAGACAATTAACATCACCACGTATACGTAAGACGTATGCTGGGGTTGTTTGTCACACGGCATTCAGATCAGCCACCGAAGGACGCACGCTGCAGGAACAACAGCAACCCTAGTCTGAGGGATCCGACACAAGTTCCTGCCCAGAAAGTGCCAACTGAGGCTAAGACAGTGCCAACTGAGGCTATTTGACTTGCTTGAAAGATCTGTTTCTACCAGTGGATAAAAAGGTAACTTTTTTCTGTAGACACGCTGTTAAGCCCTAATCCGAGTTTAATTCTCTAAACATATGTTGTAGTAATGGTACATTGCGGCATTTCCTGACGGTTGGTAAGGGTGGTCAGCACAGCCGTCAAAAAAACGTTTCGCACAATCTTTTTACCAACATCCGCTTGAAGATAAAGTAAGTTCTGAAGAGGAAAACAGGAGTTCTGCACCCTGATACGTTGCATTTTCTGTTTCTCTGTTGATCTTTTTATTTGAAAGGTGCAAAAGTCGTAAAAAAGAGCAAATAGCCTCAATATTAATCTTCAAGCAATCAGATACATTGCATAGAGGACAGTGACTAGGAAATACACTCCTATAAAGACTGTAATAGTATTTTAGAAACAGAAGATTTTGTTAGAGACATTATATTTGGAAAAATTGTAAAAAGAACGATGAAAACGTCAGCATAAAGGAAATAACATTGATATCAACGCTAAGGTATGATAAAAACAACTAGACGTGTATAGCAAGGCCTGCATCATGATTATAATTTTCATAATCATAGATTGTTAAAATAGCCATTTTCAGACAACAAACTCCATCGTGTAGGTGATACTTATGCTGGGTTGTTTATCACACGGCATTGCGGATGAGCTTTGGAAGGACACACCATGAAAGAACAAGAACAGCAACCTGTGTCTAAGGCATTCTACACAATCGTACGAGTTCCTGCTCAGAAAGTGCCAAAGATTTTAACTACCAGTTGAAAAAAATCGGGGCGCCCGACAGTGTCTAACAGAACGCCCGACAGTCACGAGGGGTCCAACGTGACCACGCCCGAAAGTGCAGAAAAACAAAGCCTTAAACGGAGCCCCTTTTTTAAAACTAATTGGGACTTTTTTTATAAAAGAAACATAGTCATCATGTAATGGTTGTAAAGGTATTTCTGCAATAGACGTTTTAAAATTAAGTGTTAAATTTCCTTTCTGGAACGTTCAGTCAGAACATGTACAATGTCCTTAGTCAGAATAATAAGACGTCTTCACAAAAGAGCACATAACTGTTATTAATATAAATATTCAAGCAGTCAGCTTCAGACAATTAGTACAACCCTGGTATCACCAAGGCCACCGCATTTAGTAATACAAGGAATTATACAAAACAAGTCGAGCAACTAGCTAAATTCATTTTGCTTGCTTTGCTTGCCGAATGGTGTCATGAGCAAGTTGAGTGATTTTTTTCATATCCAAGACATAGAATTAGTGTATAGTATAAAAAAAAGGAATCTTGTTCACGTTACTTTAGGTTGGAGGACACCATGGGAAGAAATCTGCGACACGTGCTGATTGTCCTTCTTATCATCCTGAAGGAGCTCAACATGCCTGAAGCTTCCTGCACTTGTCAACCATTTTCGCCCTGCAGCTGCATGCGCAAACAAATCACCAGTATCCCTCAAAACCTCCCAAAATCTATCACCGAGTTGAATTTGATGAATAATCGTATCAAAAGTTTAAAGCAGTCTGATCTCTCAAGGTACAGAGATTTGGTTAGTTTGTCTTTGTCGAAGAATCGTCTTACCATTGTGGATCGTTTCCCTAATCTACCTAATCTTAAATGTCTGTACTTAAGTAGAAACCAAATAACTAATATCCATCCTGAAACTTTCAGAAATGTACCGATGCTAGAAAGAGTAGATTTAAACCATAACAAAATAACCAACATACACTCCAGTACTTTTGCAAAGCTAGCTAAGCTTGAAAGGTTGCAACTGCAGTACAACCAGATAAAACAGATTCAAAAAGGCACACTTGCAAATCTTTCCCGGCTACAAAAGTTGTGGTTGACCTCCAACCGGATAAATATACTTCAGCCTGGTACACTTGCAAATTTGTCCCAGCTCAAAGAGTTGTGCCTGACCTCCAATCGGATAACAAAGGTTCAAAAAGATACATTTGCCAATCTACTCATGATCGAAGACTTGAATCTGTACAACAACAAGATAAAAAAGATTCAAGCAGGTACTTTTGAACATCTGCCCCAGCTCAAAACGTTGTCGTTGGCCAAGAACCAGATAACAAAGATGGAGGCAGGTACATTTGTAAATCTACCAAAGCTCGAAAAGTTGTTTCTGCACACCAACAGGATAACAAAGGTTCAGTCAGGTACGTTTGCCAATATACCCAAGCTCAAAATGTTGACGTTGGCCGCGTGCCAAATAACAGAGATCCAGGCAGGCACGTTTGTGAATCTTCCCGGGCTAGAAACGTTGTCTTTGTACATCAATAAGATAACAAAGATTGAGACAGGTTCATTTGCAAATCTACCCGAGCTGAAAAAGTTATGTCTGAGGTCCAGCCAGATAAGTATAATCCAGGCTGGTGCTTTTGCAAATGTATCACGGCTACAGGAGTTAGACCTTCGGAATAACAAAATGGTTGCCATTTCCCCGTTAGCTTATGGCTTACTGCCATCTATTAAAAACATCAAACTTTCCGACAACCCCTGGCAGTGTGACTGTAGGATGATTCCCTTCAGGCTGACTACGACTAAATTTCCTTCATTTAAAGACCAGATAATATGTAACAAACCCGACAAATTCTATCCAAAGAAGCTTAAAGATGTTAATATTGACGAACTGATATGTGCAGAGACAACCATATCAACCCTGAGTGTTAAACCCCAACCCTCATTCACTTCATCCGAAATTTCAGCATCTTCAGATGGCAAGGCAGAACACAATGACAGACCAATAGCAGGTCCTGTAGGCTCCACGTCTGTTCCCCTAGCCAGCACCTTAGTGCCAACCATATCAACGCCAATTGATAAAATACAAACCTCGTTATCTTCATCTACAGTGTCAGTTATCATCCCAAAAAGTGCTAATAACTGTTACCATGGCTTCACTTCTCACTATCACTGGTACTTCAAACGCAATGCTGGCTTAATAGCATGTCCTGCAGACAAATCAAGCAAAACACTTGCAACGCTTGCAACCGCCTCAGAAAAACCAGAAAGCAGCAGTTCTGATGAATCTGCTCCCACTAGCCTCCCCCTACATGTTCCCATTGGCTCTGCATGTGGTTCAATAATTGGCATTGTCTTGGTTGTCACCATCATTCTCACAGCGTGGTACAAAAGGAGAGCCAGTCATCCTCCTTTAGCACCAAATCTTAGTAATGTTGGTGGTAACATAAATACTGTAGTGAACAGTACTCATGATCACCAGTATGAAGATATTGAGAACTATCATTTTAAGACACGGCAGGGTCAGTCTAAGACCGTGACTGAATGCAACACAGCTACTGTACTGTCCAGTGGTCACGAGTATGTGGATATGGGCAGCCATCATGTAAAGACAGGGCAGGGTCAGTCTCAGTCCATTGCTAACTCTTACACAAACACCACAGCTACTGTACTGACCGGTGGTCATGACAACCAGTATGAAGATATTGACAGCCATCATGTTAAGACAGGGCAGGGTCAGTCTCAGTCCATTGCTAACTCTAACACAAACACCACAGCTACTGCAGTGACCAGTGGTCTTGACAGCCAGTATGAAGACATGGACAGCCAACATGTAAAGACAGGGCAGGGTCAGTCTCAGTCCATTGCTAACTCCTACACAAACACCACAGCTACTGTACTGGCCAGTGGTCACGAACACCAGCATGACGATATTGGCAGCCATCATTATAAGACATTGCAGGGTCAGACTCAGTCCACTGCTAACTCCTACACAAACACCACAGCTACTGTACTGACCAGTGGTCACGACAACCAGTATGAAGATATTGACAGCCATCATGTTAAGACAGGGCAGGGTCAGTATCAGTCCATTGCTAACTCCAACACAAACACCACAGCTACTGTACTGGACAGTCACTATCATCACCAATATGATGATAAGAACCAACATGATCAGACAGGGCAGGGCCAGTCTAAGGCCATCACTGAATTCTTGCATGCGGGAAATATATCTTATGGCACAGGGCCTACTGCCTCAAAGCTTACTTCTCTGCGCGAAAACCAAGATGATAAAACAGGGCAGGGCCAGTGTCAGGCCATCACTGAATCCCTGCATGCGGAAAATATAGCTTATGGCGCATGCGGGGCCTACTGCCTCAAAGCTTACTTCTCTGCGCGAAAACCAAGATGATCAGACAGGGCAGGGCCAGTGTCAGGCCACCACTGAATCCTTGCATGCGGAAAATATAGCTTATGGCGCATGCGGGGCCTACTGCATACCTCGCAGCTAACTTGTCTGCACAAAAAACAACATGATCAGACAGGGCAGGGCCAGTATTAGGCCATTACTGAATCGTTACATGTGGGAAATATATATCTTATATCATCCACCACCACTACCATCCTTATCCTACTCGCTCATAGCACTATTAGGTTCTGATAGAGAAAATGAAATTGAAAAAATTGAATATACTTGTAATCAAATGTTTCGTTGTAAAAGCATTGTACCATTCTATCATCATCACCATCATCCCATGTGTTCTGCATATGTAGTCGTAAGAAAAAGTCCTGCAGCTGAATTCAGACTTTCTTCATCTTATTCTACTGTGTCTTCTGTCTCGCGAGCTCCCTTACCTCTTGGATTTTCTTTTTTGTTATGGCAAAACCTAGCCCTGTGCTTCATGTCTCCCCTCGGCATGCTGAGCAGATTGACGCATTATCTTCCTTTGTGTCACCCATAAACTGGGATCACGTCAGCCCAACCATAAATGTCAGAAAAGTGAGATGCTGAAAAGTAAATTGCAATCACACGAAGATTTTTTTCGAACAAACATATTTCAATTTTTGGTGCAAAAATGTTACATAATGCCCCCTATAAAGGTGTAAGCTCTCGTGGAGGCCAATGGACCTATACCATTATTACGTCACAGTTTGTTTACCTGTTCTAAAGAACATTCTAGAACGGCCAGTTAAAGATTAAAGATCATTTCAAAGTTTTCAAAGTCAGGTATGTCTGAATTTTGCTGCGTCTAGTTTTGTTGACACAGCATTACATGCCGCATGGGTGATTTAGTTGTGACATTAGACGAAAGTAGTACTGTATTAAAAGCCTTATATTAGGCTAACGCTACACAAACACACACCGCGCTACGTACCCCTGTACAATATAAACGTCGATTGACCGGCATTCATTGCGGTAAACAAACTGTGACGTAATAATGTGATAGGTCCATTAGTCACGGACAGTCACTGAGAGATTGTAACACGGACTGATACATGTAAATAACGATCGGCTACATTTTGTAAAAAAAATCGATATTGAGGCTGATTTTGTTGTTAAATTAATGTGACCTTCATACTAGAAATACCGATAGTTGTTTTTTTTTCCTTCTTGTATTACAATATATTGCAACATGTGGTTATAACTATTTCAGTAGCAATAATTGTTACCAATTATGGTATTGTTGTATTTTGAAACACGTTTTTGTAAATCATTGTATCTTAATGATATTGTATTTACCAATCTAGGGGTAGTGGTATGTTTATACACACCACTAAGGCTATGTTGATTTGATTAATATATGGATGACATCCGCGCGCACATGAATTTTCATCTGTTTCCAAAAATTGTTTTCGACCATACTGTAAAAGTACAAAGCAGCTGCAAACCGAGCAAATATACACCGTAAAATTGGCAAACAATATTCGAAAATAATACTAATCTCGTAGAATGCTAAAATCAATTCCAAAGGAAAGTAAGAAAATGTGAAAAAATTAAAACAAGGGTCTTTTTTCGCCATTCCATGCTCACCACATTGTTCAATCTTCATGACCACGTAGATGTCAGAATGAAGGCAACATTTTTTGCCAATTTTTTTTTTTCGCACACTCGCATCAGTTTTGGGTTTTCTAGAGGATGTCATCCATATGATCCAATCAACATGGCCCAATGGTGATATTTGAAAGTACATGTACATTGTTGCATATCGAGGAAACCCCCCCCCCCATACATAGAGAATGCGTAGGGCCCGGAGGGGGCAACTAGATGGAAAATATAAGAAAAGGTCGGAGGAGAGGAACCAATCAGAGAAGGTTGTTGTTAAAGAGGAGTTTGGGAAATAAAAGGAAAGTGACCAAACAGAGAATTGTCCGAGTGATGATGTGAGAGCGTAATACGTAACTTACAAAACTGGTGTATTACTACTCGTAGTAGACATTCAGGCAATTCAACCGTTATGCAACATTACAACTCTTTTTTGGAACACAGGAGGTTAAAGTTTACTTTTTAACTTTATGTATACATTATACTTACACCAATGTTGACCGTCTGAGACATAACCAACGTGACCATCGTTTTCCTAACACCTATTCACACACTAAATGTAATCAAAATCTAGCCACAACTGAGTCATGCTGTTCACTCATGAACAAAAAAAGAAACGACAATGTAAACATACAGAAATTCCTTGTCGAAAGTTATGCTTCATTTTGGTGACATAACAATGGACATCACGTTGTTATTCATTTTAATTTCATTCACATTTATTTTTTTGAGGATTGGGTAAAAAAAATACATATTATCAAGGCCCTTTCCTCTCCACATATACAGATAAAAACAACATCAACTAAACAAAAACAAGTTTCAAACGCAAACACGAAATCACGTTGTTCCATGATCTAACAAAGAACAGGTTGTTTTATGACGTAACAAAAGAACGTCGAACTTGGAAACCAGTTTTGTGTTGCGCCATTCGAACGATGTCGCTGCAGCGCTACGTTCCATCAAACATCAAACACGGAAACCTGGTTTTCACTCTGCTCTACAAGCATCGGGAGGTTTACTTGCAGTTCCAGCCAACTTGTGTACGATACTATCCGAACTTTCAGTGTCATTAGTGATACTTCGGACGCAGAGGAGAGCTCCGGTCTTCAGTCGAAGGTCTGTTTCGTATGGAGCATCCCGCTTACTTCCTTTCTTGACTCAAGTCGAGTCTTCGGTCAGGTAGGAAGTACAAAATTTCAGTTTTGGGCCGCTCTTAATTTGATTGAAATAGCTGTGGATTATTCAGTGGCCTTGCGTGTGCATTTGTGTGTGTGTGTGTGTGTGTGTGTGTGTGTGTGTGTGTGTGTGTCTGTGTGTGTGTGTGTGTGTGTGTGTGTGTGTGTGTGTGTGTGTGTGTGTGTGCGTGCGTGCGTACGTGCGTGAGTGCGTGAGTGCGTGTGTCTAGTTTTGCTTTTAATTGGATCTATATTTGGTATCGTTGCCACTTCTTCTCGTAGATTGGTAGATAGTTTCTGTTTTGATACTAAAAATATGTTGTTGTTAACTTGTCGCATTATACTTTGCATAGATATAGCGCTTCGCCTTCCCAACACCTTGCGTAATACTAATACAATAAAGATCCCGCCACAACTTCTTCTGTGTATACATAAAGAAACAAACGGTACAGAAAACATTGCGGATTATCCAGTACCTTATAGTTGTATACACCGCTTTGTGTGTGTGCGCGCGTGTGTGTGAATGTATGTGTGTGTGTGTGTGTGTGTGTGTGTGTGTGTGTGTGTGTGTGTGTGTGTGTGTGTGTGTGTG